GTGGAACTGAATGCATTTGTGTGTGGATCAGCAAGGCGGAAAATTAGTGCCAAAAGTCACGTGACAGTTTGTAGAATTTTTTTTTGTACTTGAAGGATTTTAGTTTGTACTTGAAGGATTTTAGTTTGTACTTGGAGGATATTTTTTTGTAATTGAAGAAATATGTTTCGATGATGTATGTGTATGACATACTGTATTTTAATTGTTTGAAAGCTGATGTATTTGTTGATAGGTACGTTTCTTATATTGCATAAACAAATGCATAAGTTTGTTGAATGATGTTTTGTAATTGCACACCACTGAGTAACTTTGTTATGTGATACGGTTGGGAGGCTAGGTAAAACACGTTTGTGTGTGTGTGAGGTTTTGGCATGATTCTAACTCCATAATAAATCCACAGAAATGTGTTTAGGATTGAACTCCATTAGACTGGTTGCTTACATGTAGTAGTTTAGAGTTTTTGTCTTCATATTACATTTTAATGCCCCCTGACAATTTGATCCGTTGCAGAGCTGAAACAACTGCTGTAGCTCTTCAATAGGCAGCCATGTTGTTTTTGCTGCAACAAGCACTACAGTCGGTGTATAGTACTGTACTTAGAGAGCCCTATTAACTGCGTACCCTTCTTACTAACGGTTCTAACTTTATAATAGAACAATTAATAACTCACAACTAACAATTTGTGACAATTAGGTTCTTGTCCAATAGAACGTTTGAGAAATATCCCTTTGAATACTTGTTTAATATAAATGTTGACACTGAAACATTTTATGTCAGTTTATAGTGTATATAACTTTTTTTAAATCAATAAAATGGAAATGAAATGGAAAATAATATAAGTTCTGTTTCATGCATTCTGATTCTTTCATATATTGTATCATTTTGTGGCAGCAAGAAAACCACTATATATAGGCCACTATAAACCCATATAAATACCCAATTAAGGGAATAGAAAACACCATAATATAGCATGAAACTGACGGAATCTTAAAAATCATACCGCCCTGCACTACCTGTACCTCTGCATCTGGATCGGAATCCATACAGTGATAGAGAGCAATGCTGATTGACTGATGAAAGCCTGCTTTTTGGAAAATGTGTAAATCCTGTAGGAGAATATTAGTGAATTGACTACTCACTTTTAAAGTGGCACTAAAACATACTGTAATCACTTTGTTTCGTTTTGCAAAGAAACGCATGTATTGCATCACAGATAGGAATCTCATCTCCCTGTTCTTTATTTAGAATCTATACTATTTCTACACATCCAGTTTAACTTGTGTGTGTGTGGGAATGCAAAGCGTAAGATGAGCTTCCAGCCATGGTGACAGGATTAGGATTTTGGAATGAATGGAAAGATGCAAGCTCCCCCCTGTCCCCTTGTTCAAAATAAATCAGTACATCAATATAGGACTGTTTGCTGGAGAGATATAGAGCATTTTCAAGCCAAACCATGTGAGGATATTCACCATTATCCTGATTAACTAAATTTGCTAATTTTCTTTGTGTTTTTATCGCGATAGGCTGAATAAAGGAGTCAAGGTGAAATCTTTAAATCCAGTCTTTGGATGTTTTTTGGTATCATTTTTGGACCTACTGTACATTTTTGTCATAAACAAGAACAAAACATGCAAACCACAATGTGGTTGTTATATGGTTAGGTGTCTAGCTCCCTGAATAACTAATTTCCAGTTTGATTATTAATATTTATAATCTGACATAATGGTGTGATGTTGCAGTAAACTATACAGAAATTAATCACAATTTTTACTATACTGCCAACTTCTCACTGCTGTAAAGTAAATTATTGTCTCTTGTCTCCCTCTTTGTAACATGGTCAGTGGATGATTAACAGTCAGAGATTGTAGAGTTACTGTATTATAGACATGGCTGAGCTGGTCTACAGCATCTGTTCCAGATAGCAGACCAACACTCAGTCAGCACTCAGTCAGTGTTACCTTGCTATCTGGGATGGTCAATATAGGATTTTTTAAATTGATCTGTGTGAGCTGTATTAACGTAATCCATTTCTGATCCTTTGTTTTCTATAATCCATTGTGCTCTGGCTTTGCAGCTGTTAATAAAACTAAACACTTGTGTGAAACATTTTGGAAAATCTATTGTCAGAAATCTAATATAATATTCAAAGTTACCTTATAATGAGACGTTTTGTTATCTACAGAGGGAGCGGATCCTCTTCTATGGAGTCTACACACCATGACCATGAGGCAGTCCCATGCTGTTAAAACAAATTGTCCCCTAGGATTAAAACATCTGTTAGTAAGACAATGAAGCATTTTAGTCAGGAAAAGACTGGATGTACTAGGCATTCAGCATACAGTTACAGGTGTTATTGTACTGGGCCACATAGTTGATATCTTTAACTTGTATGTGCTGCCTAAAACATTTCTATTTGACTGAATGGTTTTGTGTTTGTGTACACCCACACAGTGTATATGTATGTCATCATTCATTTTCTGGCAACAATAAATATCAGTTATAGTCACCTGCTGATACAGCAATGAATAGCAGTGACTTAATCACAGCCTGATTGGTCGGTTGAGTCAGGCCACTGACACAAATAAGGAGTATACAGTATCGGGAGTCTATTTTTATTATTATGAATCAAATCACATTCACAAGCAGCCTATTGTTTTGAATTCCTGTGTATGTAAGTGTTGAGGAGCAACCAGGGGCAAGCAGCATTACAAAGGCATGGGCAAATGATAAAATTATTCTAATAGTGTACTTCATACACAGTTTTAATGGTCCAGTGTGTAACATTTAGAAGGATCTATTGGCAGAAATGGAATATAATGTTCATAACAATGTTTTCATTGGTGTATAATCACCTGAATATAAGAATCATTGTGTTTTGGGTACCTTAGAATGAGCCGTTTATATATACAAAGGGAGCGAGTCACCTTCCATGGAGTCTACCATGTTGAACCACCATGTTTCTACAGAAGCCCAGAATGAACAAACCAAACACTGGGAGTTTTTCCCGTGTTTTGTAGCCACTGTAGTTTCTCCTCCGTGCTTGGAAAAGGAGGGTGAAGCACTAAATCATACACACTGGACCTTTTTAAAGGTTTATTTATACGAAATTCTCTTACCACCGGATGTCCGCTAGATCACCTGCATCTCAGACTAAAACAATGGGACAGAAACAGAATAGTACTCACCAAAAATTAAGCATACTAAAAGTTGTTGTTTTTGCCACTAACAG